CGGGTTTTGAGTCATCACGATGGTTCGCAGTTGAAGGCGATCTCTTGCTGAGACAGGACGATGCCGGTGAGAGAAGGGTTAATAGATGAATTAAATAGACGAGGTTGGATGAGATGGGCTGATGTGAAGGATCGAGTTGGGTTGAGGGATGGGAGGAAGACTTAGCACTGTAATTAACCCCGCGGCCCGGGCATTTAGCGCCGATAGCGCCCTCGTCCTCCCTCTTTCGGTCACTTTAGCGAAGATGAACAAAAGCTTACCTAACAGAAGCGCCAAGTGGGGCCCTTCTTTTCAACGTTCCATTTCGGCGAGGAACACACACAGCCCACTCACCCTCTACTCATCCATCTCCTCCATCTTCGCGAAACAAAGATTCACAGCTTCACATCTCCCTGTCAAACACCAATGGGCATGCAAGTCATTTGCTGCCAAGCCGCGGAAAACCAGCGCAAGTAAGCACTTTCGGGCCACTGTGCCCCTGTTTCCACGTTGCGACGACGACTCGGCAGTCGTGCCATTGGCTTGGAACCTGCCGTTGAACCTTCGCCGGCACAAGATCCCTGCCGTACGGCAAACCTTCAGGCTTCTTTTGTCTGTCGAGATCCCTCGAAGAATCTGCTGCTGTTCTTCTCCCTGGCAGCCTCGAGTCTTTTTTGATGGGTTAGGGGAAGACGGTGACGCTTACACTCTTGGCAATAGAGAGACACGGTTCGGCAAGCCACTAACAAAAGCTGACATGATATCGTCATTTCTTCCTTCTCTGGAACTCTTCCTCCTTTCGGCATGTCTTCTCCTTTCAAAGAAGGATGATTCTCATCGTCTATAAATAATACCCACAAAGCATCGCCGACGAGTCTGTCCATCCAAACCCACGCAACAAGCAATCCCCTGCCCCAAGCGCCGACCGTGTCTCTCATCCAATACCCCACGAACACGGAACATCTCACGCAAACCTGTCATTCCAGAGCCCGGACACCTCCTTTCTTAAATGCCGGTTCTATCGGCCGGGGACCATGCCCAGGTAATCTCCCTGCGATGGCCATGGTTTCCCCGTCCATTCGGAATCCCATCCGAGCACCACCTTACCGGTCATGGAATCCTCGAGGATTGTTGATCTTGCCGCTTTTTGTTTTCAGGCATATTACATGGGCCCCGAGGGAACCGTAGGAACGGCAGCTTTTGTCGCGCAGGCATCCGGCTGGACGTCAGCTTGAATCCTGGTGCCTTCTTTAATGTGAGACGCTGAACTCATCATTGCAAATGGGGTATATACATAGGCAGACGACCCCCATCCTGAAGCAATTTTTTGAAAGCCTCCAGCGAGTTCGTCCTGCCCTTTTCGTTCTTTAATCTGTTGATTACTTGTTCCGTTGCGATGTTTTCCATTCAGCATCACCCGTGCGGGTACCTCCTCCTAGCCTTGATTTCCTCCTTGGTGCTTGTAGAAGCGGCCCCCAACCCTTCCAAGGCCTGCCCCCCGTTCACCAAAGGCAGCTTCACAATCCAGCAGTATCAGCTGTACCCCGAAAATGCGGACTGGGACGTTGACAACTGTATCGTCTACTTTGGGTACTCGAGCCTGACCCCTCTTACACAACTCACGCACTAACCCGGTCCCAGGTCCTTGTTCAACGCCAGCGTAGCCGTGTACGACCCGTACAAGGACTCGGTGGTGGACATCCTCACCTTCGACGGCATCACGCACAACCCAAACCTCCACATCGGCGGCGTCCAGGTCGACCAGCACACCAAGCTCGTCTCCGTGGTCGTCGACGCCGCCGCCGCCTTCAACACCGCCGGCCAGGACATCTCGGGCGACAACTTCATCATCAAGTACGACCCCGCCAAGAAGCAGGTCCTCTGGAACAAGAACATCACCGCCGTGACACAGGGACAGTACGGCGGCTTCCAGGACATCGAGCACGACCCCCGAGGGAACACGTACGTCGTCGGCTCGTTCCCGGGGACCATCATGAAAGTCGACCCCCAGGGGTCCGCCGTCGATCCCTGGTTTCTCCCGCAGCAGATCAACCACACCAAGATGGGCTTTTCCGGGCTCGCGGCAACGGGGGATATCCTCTTGGCGAACAACAACGAGGACCGCCAGATCTACCGGTTCAATATGAAGGACGACAAGGGAAAGCCTGAGCTGGTCCCGAGAACACCCGAGGTCAGCCTCGACAGCACGGATGCGATATACCTGCCACCGAGGTATGACGGAAAGGTCCTGCTCATCGCAGAGAACCTCAAGGGCATCACCGTCTTGCGGTCCAAAGATGGGTCGTGGAAATCAGCTGAGCACTTGGGCACTGTTCCCAACAACTCTACAGCAGCCCAGGGCGGGATCGTCACGGCGCCGGTACAGATTGGGGACAATCTCTTCATGGTGGAGGAATTCTTCGCAGACCCTCCCGTGTCCGGATCAACCGCAGGAAACAGAACGAGTTTCCCACTGGTTGACATCACTTCTGACGTTGAAAGGTTGCTGAAAAAGTCAGCCGGCCGTAGATGAGCCAGATCAACGGACCGAGAGTAATAAAACACATCATCTTTTCTACACTTTGGTACATCTTATACACACCCTGATTAACTCTGAAGACTGATAACGTCCCCGAATTCGATCTGCTGCCAAAACTCCAAGGCATCCTGTGAAATCGCCAGAGTCCAAATCGCGAGTACAAGCCAACATGACGCCCAAATGCCGTCGGGGTATTACCAAGCTGGATAGGTCCGAACCAACAACCAACTGCCCAGATGCGCAACCAATTTCGCTCGAAGAAAGTGGATAACCGCCGAAAACCTCAAAATTGGATGCCGAGATGTTCGTCGTACAGAGTCGAAAAGGGATCGTCCTCCTCGATGCCCAGAATCTCGTTTGCTTCCCTCAGCCAAGCCGGGGTCGGTCCCACCCGGGTGGTAGGCGGCTGGGATTGAAACAACTCCTCTTCAAATATGTCCTCATAATCAGCCGTCTTAGCTCCCATCCATGCATCTTTTCCAGTTTTACTCCAGGGGCTGACATCTTCCTCCACCTGCTTCGGCATGGCCGTGCCCTATCCGGGGCCGAAAAGGTGTGAGGCTCCAAAGTCTTCCTTAAAGCCAAGGAACTCTCCTCTCTTACCCGGCATCGGCTCTCCGATGCCTGAAGGCGAGATCTTGGAGACGTCCCTTCCGAACTTGTCCTTGTAGATGACATTGCCCATACCGTCAGCTTTCATTACGGCAATCTGAACGGGCTCGCCATTATAAGGATCGATCAGGCAGAAGTGGCGGCCGACCTGGAAGGGACCCTTGTGCTTGTCCTTTGCGAGCTCGCGCGCTTTCTCGACCTGGCGACTAACCATGCTCTGATGCTCGCTAATGGGCTGGGGGTGCAACATCATCATCTGCAGTTGAGCGTCGGACTCCTTGGTGGGCTTGAAGGGATTGGCCAGCTTTGTCTCTCGGATCGGGCTGCTGCTCATCATAGCGCCGGGAGCGTATCGGCTTGGGGATGGAGTGATTGTGTTGCTGGATCTGTTGCTGGACATAGTGTTCGAGGTGTCATCAGAGGTCGGGAACGAGACCTTTCGGAGTGACGAAGGGCGACGAGGTGTCGACGGTGTGCTACTCGATTGACGGTATCCCGGCGGACTGCTAGATGGAACAAGGCTGGCTCGGTTGTTTCTATCGGTGTCTACATGAAGAGGTTAGCTAATCTGGGCAACTCTGGGCACAAGGTTGTGTTCATACGAAGTTGCATGCGGGGCATGTTTCCGGACGAGAGGGCGGCCACCATCGGATTCTGTGTCGGACGACCAGAGGGGCTGAAGTGTGACACGTTGGCTTGAATTGTCAGTGAATCTCTGGACGAATATTTGAGATGAGACTAACGAGAGTATTCCATCTGGGACATGTACGAAGCCATAGACGCGCCGTCCAAGTTCAGATCAAGAGGGTCGCTTGGGAAGGCAGGACCTGGGGAGACGGGCTCGGGGCTCGAATGGCTCATCTGACCGTAGGAACGCTTCAGACGGGGAAGCTCCATATTTTCCCGAATATCAGAAGCGCGTTGTTGCATGGCGTTTTCGGCGCGGTAGTTCGGGATCGCCAGGTGGTTGCGGACTTGGTCGGCACGGCGCTGCATCTGAGGCTCGGCAAGGCGGGGCAATGCCGAGATTCCTGAAGAGACACGTTCAACGAGACTCCGTGTTACTTCTTCGGCTGCCTTGGTCGGGGTCATGGGTATGGCTGATAGAAGAAGGACTCCAGGCGACTAGAATTCCACCGGAGACTGCCTGGCGGGGTGTCGCAAACCGGTTAACCAAGGAGGTGTAATGATGGTCAAAACGAATGCGAACTGCCAATGTCGGCCGTGATGTGGACTCCGAAGTGTCGTTCTGGAGGAAGACCGATGGTAGTCGAGGGTGGGAAACTGCAGTAAAGGCTGCCTCGACACAAAACGATATTGTCGAGTCGCACGTTATGCGGTTGCTAGCCTCGAGCGCCTGGTGAATAAGACGTTTGTTTACCTTTGCGTGGGTCTGCAAGGCAGGCAGACTTGGGAAGGTGCTCTTGGTCGTTGCTTCCTTTGGTGTGACAAACATATTCTTTTTACACAGCCTGTTGACGGCCTAATCATGCAACCTCGAATCAGACCAGCTCCCTGTCTTTGTTGACACTACCCCTTACCTCTTCCTGCAATGCCCCCAAGTGCCCAAGCATCACGACGCAACGATTTGAACCAAGTGTGACTGCAATGTCTAATCTTATACATTGAATAATTTGTGGTTGCCTCTTGCGTTTCTTTCTTGAGGCTTCATTTACATCTCTTACATTACTCGACCTGAAACCCTCGCACAGTCCAGACAAGACACATAGATATCCTGCATCCATGACCGACGGCGGCACCCGTCCAAGGCTTCAGCAGCCAGTCCCGAAGCCATCACGAATCCCTCACAGCAAGCAACCTGCGAACACCCGAAAAAGGGCCACCACAGATCCCGTCCGCAAGCGAACCCTCAAAGGCGCTGCAAAAACCTGAACCTAGACTTGGGAGGCTTCGCAGGCGGCATCTCAGGCGGGTTCCCGTTGCCCGGCATGCCCGTGCCGTTGTTCGGGGGAGAAGGGTTTCCCTTCCCTCCGCCCGGCTTGTCGCCGCCCTTACCGCCGCCTTCGCCAGGCTTGTCGCCGCCCTTTCCTCCTCCTTCTCCTCCTCCTCCACCACCGCCGCCACCTCCACCGCCACCTCCTCCGCCGCCGCCTCCTTCACGGCAGCCACTTGCAAATAGCATGACCTCAGCGCAGTTCGCACCCTGGTCAGCCTTCTTATAGATGTTGTACTGCTGCTGCTCGGCCTCACACTGGAAGAACTTGGTCTGGTTCTTGAACGTAATCTGCCCGTCGCAGCCAACCGAGAACCCAGAGTCGGCCTTCTGGCCAACGTCACACTGCAGAGTCTCCGTGGGAGCTAAGTCGTCATAGTTAGTTTTCAGAGTCTTCAAAATCACAGACACCCGGATTTACTTACGAGTCCACCAGCAGCCTCGCTTCTTGTCATCGTTGACCTCCCCCTTTTCCATGTGCATGGTCGCCGGCTCAAGTCCGATTCTAAGCTGTCCGCTTTCCAACTGGCCAATGGAGCCGGAAACAGAGCCCTTCGCCATGAACTTGAACGACTTGCAATCTCTCAAACGGCCGCCCTTGCAGTCATCACCTCCCTTTCCGCCTCCACCGCCGCCGCCTCCTGGGCCAGGGGCCGGCTTTGGCTTGTCACTAGCTCCGGGTTTGTCAGGTCCCGGCTTATCAGGTCCGCCCGGCGGTGGCATCGGCTTAGGCTTGTCGCTCGATCCAGGCTTATCAGGTCCAGGCTTGTCAGGACCAGGCGGCGTCTTCGGGGGGTTTTCGCCGGGTGGTGGCATCGGCTGAGGCTTGTCGCTTGATCCGGGCTTGTCAGGTCCAGGCGGCGTCTTCGGGGGGTTTTCACCACCCGGAGGCATCGGCTTGGGCTTGTCACCTCCGCCCGGCGGCGGCATAGGCATGGGCATTGGCATTGGCATTGGCATGGGCGCGTCACTTGCTCCAGGCTTGTCCGGGCCTGGCGGCATCGGCTTCGGTTTGTCGGGCTTGTCGCAGTCCTTGGGGCCCTTACCACCGCCATGACCACCTCCCGGGAAACCACCTCCCGGGAAGTGGTTATCGATCTGAGGGTCTGCATTGTCCCTCTTCATCCCACCACCGCCGCCGCCTCCTGGACGTTCGCCAGCGCGGCAGCCTTCTCCACGGCCGCGGCCGTGTTCGGCAGCCAAGGCATTTGCGTCGTCTCTGCTACCGAGGGAGAGAGCAAGGGAGCTCGTAGCGAGGGAAACGACAGTGATTACCGACAGACGCATTTTCCTGTTCTCTCTCGAAGGATGTACAACTTTTGAGTGTGGTATAATACAAATTAGAAAAACGGGTGACAAAAGAACACGGCCCGTCAGGGGAGTATGCCCTTGGGGGAAAGGAATTTACTGTCGGAATGGGTAAGGTGAGGAAGATTTACTCGTCTTCTCAACACGAAAAAAGCGAATGCTGTCGTGAAGAAAGGGGAAAAGGGGCGGCGGTAAGCACCAAGACGATGGACGACGGACGAAGTCTTCTTATCTTTTTTAGGCTTTTCTTTTCGAACCACCTCGAAAGCTTGAGAAACGACATCGGAGAGAGGGGACATGGCTGCGAACACGAATCACAACGTGAGGCGGCCGTCAACTGACTAGCCGAGCGAGAGCAGAAAAAGTCTGGCCGGAGCGGAAAAGGGGGACGAGGGGGTCGTGAGGGGGAGGGGTTGGCGGGGGTTCAATGATGTCCGACGACGATGTCAACATCATGAGAGAGTCATTCAACAAAGAGGGGTGTGTGTGGGATGGGTGTGGGTGGGCAGAGAGAACAACCAACAGGGGGCCTGAGGAGGAGGCCCGGAGGAGGCCACGACGAGGCCTGGGTAAACATGATCTCATGAACCACACACGGCATTCGTACAAACATCGGATACGGCATCCACGTGGAGACTTTAAGGCAATTGCCCTTCCAGTCTTTTTTTTCTGCCGCCTCTCAGAAGCGAAGGAGATCATAAAAGATCAAGCTATAGAACTTCAGATGGAGCCAGATCGAGATGACATCTTGGCTGGGAAAAAGGGGGTGCGAGAAGTTAGAATCACGAACTGGCGAACCACGCAGAAACAACCACCAAAGGCGGTGACTTTTCCGACGACTTGGTTCGATTGGGCCAAGGAATAAAACTCGGAGGATTAAAAGGAAGAAGGAAAAAACTCTCTTGCTTAGTCCTGACAAGAACTCAAAACCTTGCCATTCAAATCACCCCTCTTCTTTCCATCCCCTCATCTTCGCTTCTCCGTCGCCCGATCTTCCCAGGGACTACGCGGCGAGATGCGGCGGTGAAGCGAACGGCCAAGGTCAAAACAAGAAACATGGGGAGGGAGCCGGAGAGAAACAAAGTTTGCATCGAACGAATCATTTCTATTCTATTGACTGATGAACCAGAGTCATTGTGTATGTGTGTGTGTCTTTCTCTAACTCTTGGAATCTTTTTCTTTTCTTCCCTTGCGAGACACTGAGTCGTCCTCCACTAGAGACGATTCGGGGGCAGACGAGGTTTCGTTTCCTCGAATCACACAATGGGGCCTTGTTCCACGGGCAAAGACTCGTTTGCCGTTTCGATTGCGATGAAGACATGGGTATCATACGGTCAAACACACTTCAAAGCTCAGCTCTTCCCCAGACGCGTGCGTGCGGAGCCTCGGAACAAACACCTTGCGGCTGAAAGCCCGTGCCAGGCTGGTGGGAGGAACAGGGAAGTAGGGGTTTTGCGGTTCTCCGGAAGAGCCGCATTCGGGTCGCCCAACATCGAAACGGGGTGCAGGTTCAGGCCGCAATCAGGTTTGTAACGGCTGCCGTTGCCCTGTGATCTCATACCAAACAGTGCGGTGACCGCACGCTGGCGGGCGCTGAACTTTAGGATCTGGAGTCCCTGAGTCGGCCCGATCGACGATGATTGGACTGTTTCCCTACCCGAGCTGGCGACGTTGCCGAAACTTCGGCGACGCGACGGATCAACATCATCTAGCTTTTCAGAGAGCCTCATGTCTTTCTCCTCTTGGCGGCAATGCTGCTCCTAGTACTCCTTGTACTGGCGCGATCCGAGATCGCACGGACCGAGGTATTGTAGCTCGTCTCCGAGGCAGCGCCGTCACCACCCTCACTGTCACTTGCGGAGTCGTCATCAGAGTCAGCGTCCAGCGGGATCATATCGTCCGAGGCTTCATCGGCGTCTTCAGACGCCTCGGCCAAGGACTTGTCGCCCTCGGCCTTACCATCTTCGGATCCGAAACCCTCAAACTCATCATCGTCCTCCTCCTCTTCCTCATCATCGCTGTCACCAGCGACTGTGGAAGGTCCCATTGAGGTATCAGGCATGCTCTCAGCATTCTCAGCATCATCCCGCTTTCGCTTCAGGGGCATCTCTCCGAGTCTACCACCGCGACCCTCCACGGCCTCACCCGCCTCGGCATCCTCATCCATCGGCGCAGGAGTGAACCAGGGAATCTTGCCGCGCATGAAATCGTTAAGGATCATCTTGGCGACACCATCCACGTCAGGCTCTCCCTTGCGGAGGAGACGACCGCTCTTTCGGGCAATCATCTCGAGGAACTCGGTGTGGTTCTTCCAGCCCTTGAGTTCGTAGGTCCTCTCCATGTGGTGAGGCTTCACCTTGGCGAGTACGGCAGGGATGTATTGTTCAGGGTGCTCGACGTTCTCGACACGCACAACACCACGCAGAAGCAGGTCCTGGGGCGTGTCCGTCTGAGAAGGCGGGACGATACCAGGGCAGTCAATGAGGTCTGGGCGTGTTAGCTCATGCACATTGACATCGAAAGAGGTAAGCGCGACTTACAGATCTTCTTGGTGAGAGTGATGTATTGCCAGACCTTGGTCTCGCCAGGAATTGGCGCAACGTTGGCGACCTTCTTCTTCCTCAAGGTGTTGACAATACTGCTCTTGCCGACGTTGGGGTAGCCGATGAGTCCGACGGAGATTTGCTTGCGCTCGCTGTGGAGCTTGGCGTACTGTCTGAGCAGCTCAATCAAACTTCCCTTGCCGAAGGGGTTGGTAATGCTAGAGTGCATGGCGAGCGTTGGCCTGACCTTGGAGAAGTATCGCACCCAACGAGCCTGTGTCCTGTTAGCTTCCGCTTAAGAAAACAAACGACACAGTCATATGTGATGATATGTATGCTTCGCTACTAAGAAAACCGCCATATCGAGGCTCGGAAGAGCACTAGCAGAGTTCAACTCAAAGTGATGCAATTTCGTCTCATGATGGGAAATCCAAAACGGACCCCATCAGCCCTGGTCCAAGGACCAGGACAGCGAGACGACCCTTGATATTCCCAGCGTGTAACGGAGAACCTTCCATTGAGGGCAACAGAGTGCGAAAGGATTCCTGACAAAACGACTGGGGTCTGGAGGAAAGGTAGGAAAAGAAGGACAAAAACTTACAGCTACGCTGGTGGGCACCAAATCGGTCTTGTTCAAGACGAAGATGAGGTGCTTGTGAGGAGCCTCCTCTGAGAGGTATTTCTCAACACTCTTGCAGCGCGTGCCCAGAGGGTCGCGAGCGTCGAGGACGTGGATGACAACATCGGAAGAATCCAACACGCGGTACAACTCGTTCCAGATACGCTTGCTCTGTCCCTTGTTGAAGATGGGCTCGATCGACATGGTAACGTGACCCTCGTCCTCGCCGTCCGCCGAAGGTCCCGAGTTTCCACTGAGCAGCTTGGCCTGCTCGAGGCGCTCGTTGTACGTGTCCAAGCTCTTGTCCGCGTCGTCCATCAAGTCCGTGATGGTGCCCGAGCTGATCTTGACACGCTTCCTCTGCGCCTTGGGGCCGAAGGTGCTGCCGAAAGAGGATGTCTCAATCGCCATCTTGGCCTGGTGCTTCTTGAGGCCGTTGGTCTCGCCTTCCTTGATGAGAGACATGGGAAGCTTGTTGCTCTTCAGGAGGACCGAGTACGGGTCGGCAGCCTTCTCCGCCATGGCACTGCGAAACGCTGTCAAGCTCTCTTGGGAGATGACGCGAGTGTTGTTGAACCACTTGCGGTTGGGCTCGATCCGGGCGTTGGGAACTTCGCGGCTCTGGAACGACGCGGCCTTGGTGATCTCACCGTCGGCATTGCGCTGGGCCTTTCCATCCTTGAGGATATTCAATTGGCGCACCCTCTTGGCAGTGCTGCAAAGATATGTTAGGGACGCGTCCAATGGGGCCAAAAGCCATGTTCCTGAAGCAGGAAGGCGGACAGGCTTACCGATAGAAATTTTCGCCCTTGGTCTTGACATTGCCCATGCCATCGCCGGTCTTGCCCTGGCGAACCTTTCGGTTCGCCTCCTTCTTGCCGGTTCCCATCTTCTTTTGACCGCGAACTCGCCCAGTCGTGAAATTGAAAGAGAAGAGGGAGGAAGACTGGGCAGGAGTTGAAGTCGGTGAGTTGTTAAGGAAGTTTGAGAGAGGGAGGTTGGAGCTCGCGCAAAAGAAGAAGTTCTCTGCGCACTGGTGGGGTCCTGGCATTTTTTTAGTGGAGTTGCTGAAATTTTTGGAGACTTCGGGTCAAGCACGCGCCGTACCCCCGACCAGCCAATCAAAACTCTGATTCACTCCTCTCCACTGTGAATGGCACATTCACGCCCCGGTGTTGTCTCTTACTGGTGCTGCTCTCCCGCTGGCAGCGCAGAAATCCCACCCAACTGCCCCTCCAGTCAAGCCACCGGTGTGTTTCTATCAAACCCTGGACAATCGAGAATTTCTCAGGTCCATGATCCTACCACCACGGAAGGTCACCTCAAGCCGCGAGCCGACTCCATTCCCAGCGCCGTCAATCTCCTCACAGTCGGTGCCATTAAGTTGGTCGAAGCCGACTAGGCCAAAATGTCATCACGATGCGCATGCGTGCGCCTGGCACGGCTCCCCGTCACCGCTGGATCCAGCATGAACCTCACACGACCCTTCTCGACCACGACTGCGAACCTCAAAGTGCCTCCCGAATCCCCCGAATGGATCCAGGTCCCGGTACCGCCTCAATCTCAGTCCTCTGAGCAGAAGCTTAAGGTCATTAGGGGAACCCTCCCCGTGCCCCGCGACCCCTTCCCGCGCAAGGAAGGAGACCGCAAGGTAAAGCCCGAATACCTCGAACAAACGGCCCCGACACCCTCGAACGAAGCCTCCCAGAGGCCTGTTGAGCCAGGCTCTCGCCGGGAGCACCGCCGACTCATGGCTGATAGCCGTCGTGAGAACCTCAAAACCGCCCTCAAGGGCCTCTACCAGCGCAAGAAGACCA